TGTATGTATATATGTATGTATATATGTATATATGTATGTGTATATATGTATATATGTATGTGTATATATGTATATATGTATGTATATATATATGTATATATATGTATATATATATGTATATATGTATATATATATTTTATTGCCAGTTTATGCAAGCAATGTTTTATTATTTGTAGTAGTAAATACTTAGTTTGAACTTTTAATGGATTTTCTCGATTGTGTGACGTCGCCTTTTACATTTAATCTGCCAACATTGAACTAATTACTGGATAACTTTACATCTCTAAAAGATGAAAAAAAAAAAATCAAATAGTGATCTCAAATGGTGGGACGGCCCCCCTGGGGAAGGGGCACAGTGAGGTGCCGGGGATGGCGGTTGGGCGTGAGAGTAACACTTGAACAATAACAGGCCTCCAGTCACTAGGTGGCAGCAACTCATACAGTGGTATCACTGCTGTATTTTTCCTTATTTATTTCATTTCTTGCTAAAACTGTTGAACTTTTTTGTTTCCCCAAAGATCTCTACTGCACCCTGGAGGTGGACTCGTACGGATACTTTGTCAGCAAGGCAAAAACCCGAGTCTTCAGAGACACCGCAGAGCCACAGTGGAATGAAGTGAGTCACCTGGCTGTCTTCTTTGACTGCTTGTTGTTCTTTTCTTGTCGTTTCCATTGGAAAAAGCATATGTTTTTTTTTTTTGTCTGTGTGTGTTTTGTCGAAAAACAGGAGTTTGAAATCGAACTGGAGGGCTCCCAGCATCTGCGGATACTGTGTTACGAGAAATGCTATGACAAAAACATGCTCAACAAGGATGACAACGAGATAGTGGACAAGATCATGGGCAAAGGGCAGGTCCAGGTAAGGCGGCGGTTACTGCCGAGAATTCAAATACTGTAAACTTTTTCAGCCAAGCAAAGCAACGCGACGCTTGGGTTGTCTTGGGGAGTCTTGGGGAGATTAACGCGACGCTTGGGTTGTCTTGGGGAGATTTCCCAAAATGCGACTGACGTAATAAGCTGTCTAGCCTGTGCCCTCAGTATATTGGTTTGTTATCGTGACCTCTAACGACGCTGGTTGTGTTAATAGTCTGAGAAGGTTTATGTCAAGGGGTTTCGCCCTTTGTGTCAGAAATGTTCTATTAAAAAACCCTTTAAAGGTCTTGTTAAGTAGAGATTGCCGACACAGTGGAATCTGGGATTCTTGGAGTTAAAAAAAAAAATGCCTTAACATTGTTTAGGTTTTCAGCAGCTGCGGCCAGAGACATTTTTTCCAAATGTTTTATGGAAGTTGCATCAGTCATTTTTCCAGAGCTTTGTATAAAAGTTGCCTCAGTCAAGTAAATCTTAACACCGGCGGTTCTCTGCTATTCGGAATGCGCTGCTGGGATTCTTGGAGTTACAAATAGTGTGAGGTGTTTTGTTTTTTTTTTTTTGTTTTTTTTTTAATCTTCAGATAATATCCTTAGGTTTTGCGCAACATAAAATCATGTTTAATGTTGCCAGAGAGACGCAGCTTGAGGGTTATTTTTAAGCACTGGAATTTTTTTTTTCTTCCCTTCCAAAGCCTTACAGAGTGAATAAACAAGTAAAGCTTGTTTGTTGCTGCTGCTGCACACAGCCGACTCACACCTCATCATAACACAAATAGCATTTTCATACTTTTTTCATAGAATCCAGCAGTACATAAATCACTTGCTTAACATAGAATTTCCAACGACGTGGATCTCAAGAACATATTTAATCCACAATGGCTGTGCAGTTTCTCTTCCAAGTTCCGTTGTATATCTCTGGCAGAGAAAAAAAAAAAAAAAAAAAATGACCCACAACTTTTATGTCTGACTCCTTTCTGTTTGTTCCCACCACCGCTTTACATGCCTTTTCTCATGCACTTTGATTCATGGCTGTGAGTGTTTCCCTGTGTTTGTTGTTGAGAACAAACGGTGCGTATTTCAATGTGACACCGTTTTGTCTTCGGAACTTTGTTGTTGGTCTCTTATTTAAACGCTAGACCTCAGATGGCACAAAGTATATTTAAAGCCTCCTCTTGTAGATAAAGAAGGCAACTCAACTTTCCCTGGTTGAGGTTTCCCGGGTTGTAAATTTATTTCTGGTATGGTTACCACTGCTGGGAACAGGCGCAAGCAGCCAACAACAGCGAAAAGACCAAATAATTTCAGCATATGTTGAGCTGGCTGGTTGTCAGAGGGGTGAATGGAGGAGGGGGGGGGCAGCAAAGGAGAATGAGAATGGCATGTTCTGTCTCCAAGGGTGCGCTGTAGATGGATACGTGTCTGTCAGTAAGTCATGATAGTTCATAGAAACGTCTTTTAAACAGGAATCCGTCAACGCGGCTGTCCTGTGTGCTTTTTCTGAAGAGACTTTCAGTTGGAGCCCAACTGTTTGCTTTCCTGGTGAAGCAGAGTTAAGACGCAGCCCCCTTTTGTTTGGCTTTAGTCTCTCGAGACCCTCGGATTTATTTAACAGGCTTGAGGAATACTGACTGACCCTAAATGGGCATATGGATGGGCTTGGAGTTTTTTTTTTGTTTTTTTTCCCCTGTCTTTTGTTTTTTTTTTTTTTTTTTTTAATCTCAGATGTTACTTTATTTTTGTACTGCTCACCACTGTGAGACCATGTTGTGATTCTTGGCGAAGTCATGTGTCTTAACTAATGACAGAGATGATATATAAAGTACGTAACATATAGGATTTAAGTGGTGGAAAATGATGTGCTTGTTGGTTTTTTTTAGATGTGTATTGTCACTCTACACACACTCATGCTGATGTTGAAGCTCTGTTAGTGAGGTTTTCGTTTCGAGGTTTTCACTCGTATCTCAATTGCATTGTTCCCATTATCAATAACAAAAACCCAATTAATTCGTTCCAGACCCCCTAGAAATATACTTATTAATTAACTAAATGAACCCCCCCCCATCCCACTGTGAGACCATGTTGTGATTCTTGGCGAAGTCATGTGTCTTAACTAATGACAGAGATGATATATAAAGTACGTAACATATAGGATTTAAGTGGTGGAAAATGATGTTATTGTTATGAAAATGGGTAAAATAACCAAGCAAGGGACGGTGAGCGCGACAGTATCGCGTGAAACAAATGGAGCTTGGTTGAGCACTCGTAACTCGATGTCTCTTCGCGTCACGACTCATATTTTGAGTAGCTCGTATCTTGAGGCCCCACTGTATATAAAAATATATAATTTATTGTGCAGTATATAATATGAATATGAGTACAATCTGTTATTTTCAAACTGACAGCCGCTAGAGGGCACTCTAGGCTTGTGTACCAGTATCCGCAACTTCTGTGCCACCATACATTTACATGTTTGTTATTTCTGTTGCAACTTTTACTCTTCTTCTTTTCTTCAATTTTTTTTTTTTTTTGGCTGGTGCGACTTATACTCCGGAAAATACTGTAGTTTGGTAGTCCCAAAAATGCCCTTTTTTTAAAAGCTCACCAGAGTTTAGTCAGTTATTAAAATTGGTTTGTGCCCAGTTGAGGTAATTAAAATGCAAATGTATAAAATATATATAATATATAATATATATAAAGTCAAGGAATGCTGACAGAAAGAAACCTTTTCACCGATACCGTTTTTAAGTCCTACGTTCATCCTTGTAAACTAAGAAGAGTTATGACGTGACCTTGATCTGTCACTTTTACTACAGTTGAGATGCTTCGCTTCTCAAGAACGATGACGTAACTGAAGGTTAATAGTCTTGGTGCTCTGTGCTGCAGAAACACATCACATCCACCTGCATTGTCACTGCTTTTATCAGGAACGGAAAATGTGCAGGTGCAAACGCTATGGGTGATTATTTGTAACCCCTTAGAATCACCTTTTTTTTTCTGAACATTTTTTTCTGAGCATAAGATTATTAAAATCACAAAAAGACGTAGAGAGATGCTAACAATAATCACATTTGATCATTACGTGCTTATAAACTTCAATCCACTGAACAATGTATGTTATATGATAAAAGGGTTTCACCAGGTAACGTAAGAATCATGTCATTTCTGTTGGTTTGTTACGCAGAGTAACGGGATGAGATAGTTCAAAGGAAAAAGTTCACAAATGTTTTGCCTTCGGTGACATCGGTGCGGGTCAAACAGTTCACCCGTTAGTTTCTGATTTTTTCACGGACAGATTTTTTTTTTTCCCACATCAAACTGTTAGAGTCCTCCTGTTCAAGTCACTCTCTGTGTCTACTTCACATTCTCCAGTCTTGTAACAATTCCAGTGAGGGCTCCAGGACTGTCAACGTGCTCCGTAGATTTCTCCTCCAACGTACCCTTTTCCCCCCCCTTTTTGTCACCCACACACACATGAACCGGGGTGTTGTTTTCATAGCTTTGTGATCTGGAGCGGTTGTGTGTTAGCCCCCAGTGTTGACAGTGTTACCAGGCCTCGGTAAGCAGTAACATGATAGTTTTGAACCATTTCCTGGAGATAATGGGAGCCAGGAGAAGTCGGGTATTAGGAATGTAGCTAGAAATGGGGCGATGAGACCGTTTGTTCCTGGCAGCTCTTAGCTCATGCTCCAAAGCTGAGGAGCCGGACAGGGGTGCGCGCATTACTGTAAAAGTACGGCTGCAGAGGGGTTGTAAAGTTTGAAGGAGAACATCTATGTGCACTCACGTCCTCACTTAAGGGGCCAAAGCTTCTTCTCTTATAGTCGAACATTAGCTCTAAGGTTTGACATTTATTAGTGAAGGTGGCCTTGTTTAGCCCTAATGGCAGTCTAACCATCTGGAGAATCAGCACTAAGTCCAGGAAGCGCCTGAAATGCAGGCCTCTCGTTCTGACCAAATCTCTCAAACCTCATCATGATGTTGTGATATTAACCAAGGTCAACACGAGGGTTTAAAAGACAGCTGGGTTTTGAGGTAACAGAGGAATGAAGAGCGTGCGTAAACAGAAGAGAACGTTTTAACAGTAAAAAAAACAAAACATAAATGTAAGCAAATGAAGAATATGTCAAAAGCGAATCAAAACTGATCCTTCATTCCTTTGGTTTTTTGAGACCTACGTTGGTAGTCATGCTTTTTTCTGTTTTGTTTTTGCACAGGAACTGCCTAAGGCAACATGTTTTTTTCACATGCTTCGTGCGTGGAATTGATTTTTTTTTTCTTTTTAAATCGTGAGCCTGCAGTGTGGCGATATGTCATGTGGGATTTGTTGTTTTGTGTTTTGTGCATTCGTTTTAAGGCATCATTAAAATTTGTATCTAATGTCATATGGTTGGGGGGGCGAAGGGGGGGTTGTACTCTTTTAGGGATCTGTCATGTTTTCATCTTAGCTCCTTGCTCCTGTGCGTATTTACCCTTCCTGGAGTCAAAGCATGGATGCATACATTCAAATGGTTGGTGTGCTAATGCGTTGTGAATGACATCAATAACTTCGGCCCGCTATAATAGCTGGTGTTAATGTGCTTTGTGTGTATACGTGTAGTACCAACAACATCCTTCCAGTCTACAATGGATGTTCTTCTCTTTGTTCTCTACACAGTTTTTTTTTTCTTCTTTCAGCAGATCTTTTTAATGAGGTTCATCCCACATAGGTTGTGTTCGTGCGTACATCGCCTTATTATTGATGATTTCTAATTAGGCTGACTTTCCCATCAGGCAATGCTTGATGACAGATAGTGCAGATTACCAGGATTTGAAAGGGTTTTAGACTTCTATTGTCATCTCCCTTTAAAGCAGTACTTCTCAAATTGAAGTAGACACACAGTTAAACAATCGAACATGAGATTATGTTGACATTGAATTCAGCCTGGAACTCTCTGAATGGCATTAGATTTCTACCAATGTGCCACTATGGTGCCGGTAAGTCATTGAA